CAAATTCTCAAGTTTCTTGGCTAATGACTTCTTTCTTTTGCCGTTGTGTTGTTCACTCTTCTCTGAACAGCTGATTGTAGGTTTCTCAGGGTTTCGTCGTCCACTATACTTGCGCAAGTTATCATTTCTTCCCTCACGATTTTGTCGTATTTGTGTAGACGTCTATGAGCATCGGTGATCATCATTCTGACCATGCTTCTACCATATCGCATTGCTATTTTCCAGGCTTCCGGGTGGTCGACTGGTGGTCGATGACTAACGCTGGACGCGAGGGTGTTGTTTCGTAAGCACTCATGTAGAAAATATAGCTGCTCGCGAGTTGAAGCTTGACGACAAGCGAAAGCTTTCCACCGACCAGCGGCTTTGAGTGTTGAACACCCAAAAATGGATGACAGTTTTGTAAAAAACGGTGTTGATTTTTGATTTTGTAGCTCGGCGAACAACTGAACATCATATTATACCACCCGAGCTACAAAAACAACAATCAACACCGTTGTTTACAAAACTGTCACACATATATATATATATTTATATACAAGTGGTGATAGCCAGACAACTTATCTAATTGACATATTAAACATTGGGACTAATCAAAAAAGTATTATTGACGTCTACATTGCTTTTAATTAGGGATAGTAATTTACCAGTCATCTTTCAAGGTCAATCTTCCTCGAAATATCTGCTGAATGCTTCAAAAGATGTATTGACGTGTTTTTTAACCCAGTGCAGCGAAGGAGTGGCTTACAGTTTTTCGTTTCACTTGCTCATTATCTTAAGTGCCTGCGCCTAAATGGTTAATTGAAGCACTATCGGTCAATGGAATCTATCTGTCAAACTTTGGACCTCAAAGAGAGACATGAGACTTTGAATAGATTGACGACCATCTCTTTCCATTGTATGAAACTGCAATGCTGTTACATATGTTCGCAATGATGTGTTCCTTGAGATAAACCAATTTTTAAAGTCTCATTTTTCGCGAAACACTTCTCAACCAACCGTTCAATCGGAAAACCAATAAACTATTTATCTTAACCTTCTTTTTTCAAACAACTCTTTTTCCTAGACAGACCCGAAACGATTGAAGAAAGAACTGCCTAAAGCGATGAAACTGCTGCGATCGGAAGATCGTGTTCTGCTGGTCGGTTGCTCGTCTGCCCCCTTTGAGGCCGAGGTGAGGCCATTTTGCAGTCTGTATCAAAAAATCATACTGATCCCCAGACCGGACTACACATCACGCTACTGTGAGTTGATCGCGGTCAGTATTGCTCCAGTTCACTGTTCATTGTCTATCTGATTCCACAAATTATTCCGTTCATTTTATTCATGGAATGCAAAACATGAGCCATTTTTCAAAACTGTTCAGCTGGGTTTGTAATAAAAGCAGTAATTTTTTCGATGTGCTTAATCAGTTTTTTTATCAAGGAATAAATCCTTAATGACTAAGTATCATGTGTACTTGCATCAGACCTGCAAGCACAATTGATCTCATCTTTCTATATCGACAATGGAATTGTGAACAAAGAAAATGGAATCATACACGTGAAAGTTAATTCCACATCACTTCGTATAATCACTTCATTTTCTGAACATGAAACAAAAATTGGAAACGGGTGTAACTTGATGATTTCCTCGAATCATATATGCGCGAATATCATATATCACCTGCTCTATATAATCACAAGTATGACTCTCATGTTTCAGTACTATGGCGAGCCTTGATTGTGCGGTATAATGGCTGTTTGAATCCCATCTTGGATATTACTTCATTGAGCAAGATATCTGATGGTTACACTGCCGGACATATTGCCCAAGCCTGTCGACATGTGTTAACCGATCGAAGAGTGGCGCAACTAAGCCGACGACGATTGGTTGCCTCTGAATTCATCTCGCCGTTGGCTCAGATTGAGCCAGTTTATGCGGACGAAGAAGAGGCGTACAAGGTGAGTGAACGGTTTGTGTTGAAAGTTGTTCAACCTTTACTGGTGATCAGAAAAATGAGCGATAAGTCAAATAAATGCACACATTTTTGAATTTTTCTAATTTCAAGTTAACAGAAGACAGAACAACATGGCAGAGTAAGACAGTTTCGGATATCCTGGAATCCTTTACTTTCGAAACACGACTTTTAATTACCGTTCTCACTTTTATACCGAACTAAACAAAACACTTGTCTACTAATTTCAAGTGAGTAATGGAGTATTTGGTTAAATTGCAGAGGTGAATTCGCTGGGTTTGTAGTAAATAAAGCGTGAACTGAAAAGCTAGTAAGCACTGGACAGCTGTTTCAACCTGGTTGAGTCTCATCAGCAGTGCGAATCCCTCGACCCAACTGGGGATCGAACTCGGGACCTCACAGACAGAACGCAAGCATGAAATGGCTTGGAATGATTGTAGCTCGGGATGCGGACGTCAAAGGTTGCTATTGACCAATAGGACTAAAGGGACACAAACAGCTAATCGCAACCCTCAAACAGAACTATAGAAGCCCTGTCCCACTGAAGACTGGCGCTTCTTCGAAGCCGCACTGATGATGTTGCCTAGGTTGGCTACGAAACGTCTGCGAACTACACTTCCAGCTCGGAGACCTCACCAAGACCAGCAGAACACAAGCATGCTACCCACTCCGCCACCGGGCAGCTAGTCAGACCGTTTTTCATTTTCCATTTACACGATATAGCACAACCCATCTTTGCGAGCTTGTTGCGGGCCACAGACCCTGCTCATCTCAGCACTAGCCTCCGCGTTATGACTCGGTTGGAAACATTCACAACCTGACTGCTTAGTTGGGTCGATGGATTCGTACTGCTGATGAGATCCAACCAGGTCGAAACAGCTGTCCAATGCTTCCTGGCTTCTCAGTTCGCGCTTCACTTGCTATATACACGACGAATTCGCCTTTGCAACTTGTCTACGAAACCGTTTCATTCCACGTACATAAAGAAATTGATCATTCACCAAAATCGGTTTTCGAGAGGTAGTTTGTAGAAACAAAGTTTGTCGGTTATTTACTCCGATATTTCATTTTTTTAAGTAATGCACATTACTAAATAGGTTTTACGAGAAGAAGCAGCTGAGCGTGACCATAGATATGTGGGCACGTGTGTGATCCGACAATATGAAACCTAGAAAAAAATTATCATCCTGATGGTAATTTACAAGGTCTGATCCTAAGTCTTCATTCAACTGACGTCATTTTTCACTTTTCCATTAACTGGCGCGGATTTAATGCCATTGTCGACTGAAAGTGATCGTTGAGTTTCAATTGTGTATTGATGAGAAACAGGACATGAGAAATGTGTAAAAATCGATGCATAAATGGTTAAAGTAGTAGCAGTTAAGAAAAGTGAAATAAAGCTTAATTTTTAAAATATTTTTTTATGATGGCCAGCAAAGAGCACTGGGCTATTATTTCGTTTTTCTTAGGACTCATGAGCGGTGTGTACAAACCATGTGTCCCAGCTGAGAGACTCAATCCGATATCCTCGGAGTTAGAAACGGAAACAGAGGTAATCCATATGTTTTAGTGCATATGTATGTGCATCAAGAAAAGAGCCAGCTTTAAGCCAAACATGGACTGAGAATATTACGGGGTAAATGAGTAAATGGAATACTCTGATGTGAGTTGCGTCTGTGCTTTGTTTTCACGATAAATTAGACGAACTGAGGATAGTGAAATTATTTTAATGATGAATTTCCTCGGATAAAGCAAGATCAACTGATCACTTCACTTTACGTTGAATTTAAACTAATACTTTATCACAGTTCGTTAAAGACTATTATTGCAAACAATGGCCACGAAGTTCTTGATAATCAGCTGTCTTGCGATTGCCTTCAACAGCTCTTAGTTGCTGACAGAAAAGCTCAATTTAACTTTGGTTGCATGGTTATGAGCAAGCAATCATTCTCCAAACTTGTTATAAAAAAGAAAAGTATAGAAGCTTTCGTGTGTCGTTTTTTCGCAATTGACTGACTCCTAATGCGACTACTGCCAGAGCAAATAAATACTGGGAATACGCTTGTAATTATCACACCTCATGGATGTTATAGCATTTTTGTTCTTTTGGTATCTTTTGAGATCCATTAATAATTAATCTGCTGATTTATCTCATTATTCTCGAAGTAAGCTTATGCTTATTATATCCCATTGCAGATCTGGTATCGTAAAACACCGCTGGGCAAACAGAAAGCGTTGGCCATGGAAATGGAGGCCGAGGCAGCTGCGAATGCTGCAACTGGGAAGAAGGGTGGAGGCAAAGGAAAGAAGTAGTTTGGACAGATACATGAACAGTGTGCCACTATATAGTTCCCTTGCCTGTGATGTACAGACAGATTTGACTCTATTCACTGGATGAAGCATTCTTCTGTGACTGACAAACGTGCCTCGATAGATTATCTCTATCTCTCGAGATGCTACCGTTTGCCGTTTTCATTTGAACTGGGATGGCTGAGTGGATGGATATAGCCTATTTATCTCAAGGATTCCCCGGTTGGGTAGCTTGTACTGGGAAATATTAATAGATGTATCACTGAACACCGCGGACTCGATTTAATTCACGTGTTTGATTCATCTGAACAAAGTGCAGTGAACTCTCCATTGACATCCAGATGCTACACATGCAACTCGAGCAGCTGTTTTCGTATGAAGTGTAATGAAAAAGTAGACCATCTGCATTATTTTTAATTGCAAAACAAATAAAAAAGTAATTTCGAAAAGAACCATAAATTGAATCAGCAACCAGAAAGTATTAATTTTCATCCAAACGCAGCATATGCAAAATAGTAGTGTTTAATATTTCCATCAAAATTATATAAAGAATCGGCTATCTCTCTTGAATGGCAGCTTCCGTTCGATGCAAGCTTTAATCAGTTTACGGAGGTTAGTAGTTTATTAAAATGGTTATGTTACAAGACAGGCAATGATGCAGTTCAGAATCTGATCGGAGGAAGAACAAATAGTTTTGGATGTGAGATAACTCTTTAACATCACTCTTATATGTGGATTCGAAAGCTTTTTGTGTCCTTCACCCTTATAAATCGATGTGAGTTCAGACTCTCACATGAGGCTATATGACTCTAGTAATGAGAGCCGTGTATCAGACTTAGATAACCTGTTGAGATACTGTTTACGCATGGAGAGAGACTGTGGAAGAAAATTAGCTGCAGCACCAATTAACTAAAAAGACATCGAATTTAGTGTTACACACGGCATTGGCGGATGTCGGAAACACTGTGAGGGCTGAGATACTTTACTTCTACGTAAACCATAATCCTATAGTAACTGACATTCAATATACATATGATAAAATCGAACGGAATTACGACTAGATCAATGAATACCAGTGCATAGTCAAATTCAAACACGACGGTACATAATGACGTGCAAAATGAATTGAAACCAAAACAGTGATGTACTGTTATGAAGATAGAAATGCAGAACGACAGTAATCAGTTTTTAAGTAAATAGCCATTCAAAAATGAAATTCCGTCATTTGGTTTTCTTTGTAGAGTGTAGTGCGGTGAAGCGAAGAATGTCATTTAGAAACAGGCTACTCAGATAATCATAGTCAGATTACAAATAGTATAAAATTCAAATTCTCGTCTGGAGAACTTACAGACTATGAAGCTACAGTGTGATTGCACCATCGTTTCACATTGTCTTGTCCCTCTCAACCGTGACCTTAAACAAGAAAATTCCCTCTAACCCTCTCTGCGATCTGATTGGATCATTTTCCACGATTAGGGGCACTTGGAATCCCACACCCTAATACGAGACTGTCTGATTACCGTATTGTACGTTTTGTAATGCACTTGTTGTTACGTCCGGTCCATCCGAGTGCTGATGGCACTTGCTACACAGTGTGACGGGAACCGGTGCCAGAGTGCTGATTAACAAATTCAAATCTGCCGGAAGTGTACACGATCGAAAACGAAAGGAACATCCACGAACAAAAACGGATGAATGTGGTGTATTCAACGTTTTGCAATGTGTGCATCGAAATCCTCAAATATCCGCAAGGCAAATTGTCCAGGAATGCAACAGTATTCCGTGCTCAAGATTTTAAAGGAAAACAACTTTCGTCCCTTCAGAGGCTCGGCTACAAGAACTTCGTGCCCATGATCCTGAGCGCCGACTAGTGTGTGGGGTGGGCTGTCCCTCCCCTACCCCGTCCCACCTTGGAACGTTATGCCCGTGATAGTTGACAATGGTACAAAGATAAAGTGAAAGAATTAATAGCACTTCACCTGAATGGTAAGATCAAATTCAAATCTATTCACTAACTAACCGAGATCACCTTCTTCGCTTTCATTGCCGGGATGACTACTACATTCAATGCACAATGCCAATGGCAACAAACTGTCACTTGCAGCTTCTCCCTTCCCTCATCAGCTTCACCCCATAGGTTCTTATCCTTAATGTATCATTGATCAACCAGTCGCATCTCGATTGTATCCGTTCTATCCTGATAGTCTAGCGAATTAGACAGGTAGTGATAAGAATGAGTTACAGTTATCCATGATCCCACAAACGACGATAACTCTGTACTGGGTGCCCCATGGTGTATGAAGTCATGGTGGCGTCACAGGTGTAGCAGGTTGGCGAAAGCTGCTCTGGCTTTCGCTATTCATGATCCAATCTCGCCCCCAACACCACCGTCAGCGGTGATCATGCTCCCGAGGTACTTAACGATCTCAACTACTTCTAGCAGATCACCACAGAGGGTGAGTGCAGGCACAGGCTCCTGCCAGTCTTGAAACAGCACTTTGCACTTGGAAGGTTCAAAGCACATACCATATCTGGATACCTCGATCGCCAAGCGGTTCAAAGCCTCTTGAACTGCCTGTGTGTTGTCACCTAGCAAGGCGATGTCATCGGCATACTCCAAATCAAGAACTCTGTTACATGGGAGGAGTTCGACTCCACCGTTTGCTAGACCGGGCAAAGCATTTTGTAGAACATCCTCTATGACAAGGTTGAAAAGGAATGGGGATACAGGGCAGGTTTGTCGAACTCCACTGGAGACGGCGAAGGGTGGTGAAAGCTGTCCATAGACCCTAACCCGACCTGACCTATGACGATACAACTCTTTGAGGATCAACCAATACTTTTCAGGTACTCCATTCCTCAACAAACCGTTCCATAGTGCGGTCCTATCGACAGAGTCGAAGGCCGCGCGAATGTCTAAGAATACAATGGCCGTTTTTCTTTGGTGGGCATGACGGTGCTCTAGCAGCTGTCGGAGAGTGAAGATTTGATCGATGCATCCACGACCAGCACGAAATCCAGCCTGCTCCTCACGGGTCTGCTCTTCACGCGTGGTGTACATTTGGCGGAGAATGACGGACGCCAACAGCTTCGACGCTATCGGGATCAGGCTTCTACCCCTGTGATTAGCGCAGTCCTTGCGCGGGCCTTTTGAAGAATATGGGGACAAGAATCGATTCCCCCCACGAGGAGGGGACCTGCTCAGTGTTCCCCACTTTGAAGAGCAGGACTTGGAGTTCTCTAACAAGCTTTATTCTACCATCTTTAAATAGAGCAGGGGAAGGCCATCGGAACCCGGCGTTTTGTGACGACCCAAGGCTTGGATCTCTTTGAGAATTTCCGCCTCAGAAGGTGGGTCTGTTGTGACAGACCATGGGATATGTGCGGGGATAGCTGTGTTAGGAGCTGACGCTGGTGGCCATCTAAACTGTGCTTTGAAGTGCTCCGCCCAGCGTTCAAGAGGTCGTTGTTGATTGTGAATGTGCAAACCATCAGCTTCGCAGATTGTTTCTCTCACACCTAAGGCTTTCCTACCGGTGACCCGGATGAGATGAAACAGCTTACGGGGATCTTCCATGGCGGCCCACGTTTCATCTCTGATGCGCGTTGAGACCACCAGATCTCGCGGTCTCTGCGTAGGCTTGTAATAAGTTCACGTCTCGTTATGAGTCGCG